ACCCGGGAAGTAACTTGTTGTAGTCCCTACCAGCCATTTTTGTAGGCATTAAACTGCCAGAATTTTAAAAGACGACATCTCCGTTTGCATTGAACTTTCAGCTTCGTAACTTTGCAGATATTGTTTATGCTCAAACAGCAACATTACACACTAATGTTAAAAAAGTGAAATCGCTATCAATCACCCCTTTAAAGCATGATGATGTTGACCTTGTAACATGTGTGTTTGTGCGGGTCTTCATTCAGGTGTGTCTGGTGGAGTGTCATGGTAAACTTTCTCCAGGCAACACCTGGGAGATGTGTCGCAGGACCATTGTGGAGCAGAAACCAAAAGCCTTGCTATCAGTTGGCAATGGCATGCTGAAAAGAGCAGAGGAGGAAGCGGACATCTCTCTGCCTGTGGACCAGGATGATGGCCAGTATTCTGAAACCCTCCAGAGGTTCGACCACATAACACGGGCCTTGGGAATGGATGATCAGGACCAAGATATGCAGCTCAGTAAAAAATACAAGTTCCTGCAAGTACAGTCAGCACAAGAATCTGAGGAAGAGCAGGATAGAGATGGTGAGATGGAAGGCGATGAGGAAGAGGCTGCCGTCCACCTAATCAAACGCTTTGGAGGCTTCCTCAAAAACAAGTATGGCTACAGGAAGTTCATGGATCCTGGAAGGTCTTTGCAAAAAAGATATGGGGGTTTCATAGGCGTCCGCAAATCCGCCCGCAAGTGGAACAACCAGAAGCGTTTTAGCGAGTTCCTCAAGCAGTATTTGGGCATGAGTACTCGCTCTAGTGAGTTTAATAGTATGTCTGCTGATGTCACCCAACAGAATGAATAAGTTTTGACCTTTGAAGTGAATAAACTTACCAAGCAAACCATTTGTTTTGCTCATTCAAAAGATATCATGCACCATTCTCCTCAAACACAAAAAGCTCTCATAGTGCCACAGGGTTAGATGTGCATTTACTCAATGAAGCATCTAATCTGTGTCAAACAAAGCTTACATTAAGTGATATTAGCTTGAAGTTTGAATAAAACTCTTCAGATTCGATTTGAGACATATATAGATTGCATTAGATGATTGGTATTGTATATGATGGCCCCTGTAGTTTAATTATACATTGTGTAAAGACCATTTGAAAACGTTACCAGTTCCAAATTCATCTCCTTTACGACACTGCCACCTATTGGTCAATGAGAGTTCCCATAATGAAATTTCCATGAAAATGCTTGAAATTGAGGTGGAATGTCATATAGAGAGGTAATTACTAGGCAAAATAGAATTATTAAAGGAATAGTTCACCAAAAATGAAAAGGCTCACTCAACCTTATGTCATTTAGAGCTCCAAATGGAACGTAAATCAGCATTAAAGCCTAATGAAAGCATGAGAAACAGACTAAAATTTAAGTTTGCAAACTTTTAAAAACGCTTACTACGTAACTCTTTAAAAAAGTTTTTTTTTTTAAACGTAGCTGTTTTTAAAAAGTGACAATTTCATATGAATTTCTACAAAGTACATGTAGGCTTTTTTCTTTCTTTTTTTTTTAGAAAAAAAAATAAGCATGAAGGTTCACCCCTAAGCATAACCATCACTGGGGCGTAAACAGATTGTACAAAAACAAATGAATGAGATTGTACAAATTCATATGAATTAGTCACCAATTCACCAAAACGTATTCATTGCCATGAGAGTGTGTTGGGGAAAAGAGCAGCTTTAACAATCTGCTGAACATCTCCTTTTGTGTTTTAAGGAAGAAATAAAATAAAATGGGATCAGAATCATGACCATAAGTAATTGCTATAATTTTCATTTGGGGGTGAACTATTCCTTTAAGGGGATTAAGGAAAGCTAATCTGTGTTTATTGTCTCTCCCGAAAAAATAAATAAAGCCAGATTTCGCATAAACCATTCCAGCAAAAACTGTAATATGCCTATACAAACATAAATTCAGTCATGCACATGCACACTGAGTTTGTGTCCTCATCTAAGAGTGGGAAACCAAAAGCATTAATTTTAATTTTTTTTAACTGATAAAATTGATTTGTATTTGTGCAGATGAAATGATGTATTTATGCAAACATTGCTAAATCATGCTTTTCCCTTTATTCTAATGATAAACTTCATGATGTTCACTAAATGAACTGTACATAGTAACTGAACTATGTCAATAAAATAGTTTACTATTTTCTGTGGCTTGTCATGCAGCAAATGATTGTGTGTCCTGAAGTATTTTGTTCATCATTAATTTGGATTTCAAACATAAATAATGAAATATTTTCCAACAGTTAACCTTATTGCATATTGAAAGCACTCCGCCTAGTCATCCTCAAAAGTACCAATATTAAAATGCAATACTGTCGGTCGTACTTGTTTACACAAAAGTTTATTTATAAAAGGCATGAAGTGACATAAGTTTCATGAAAAGAAATTATACTTTTATCTTGAACAGATCTCAGTTTATGACTTTTCATAAAAGGAAATACTTGGGAAGTACTTTACAAAAATGTACAAAAAGATTGTTCTCTATGGGTTCATTGAATGTCTCTCAGACTAGGATGTCCTTAAACAGCTATGACACTGACTGTCGGAAGTTCATAAAGACTTATGGGATCTTCAGGTACATTCAGTTTTATGATGTCAAAGCATCATGCTTTGCGAAATATATTGAGCTACAGATAAAAACAAAAAAGATGTACAGAAGTGTTCTACAAAATAAGAAAATATTTGGACCCAGTATTAAGAGTATAAACCAGTCACATAAATGGTCATCAGATTCATTTCACATTATTATGCAGAGATGTATATGATGTATTATCTTGCGGAGATTCTCTTTGGCAACAACACATTCCAAACAGACAAACAGCGAGTGAGCAGGCTGGGGCGAGAAGCACAAAAGTAAATGAATAATTGCATAAGATCATGCAGGTTTGCACAGATACTTCATTAGTATCGATGTGACAGAAAAGTGAATCATATCATTCCACAGAAATATACCCTGTGACATAGAAATACACCGATAATGACACGACAGGATTTAACACGTCACAGATATCAAAATCGTAATAAAAAAAACCTTTTTTCTACTTATTTCTTTTTCAAAAGTTTTTTTACAAAATGTTGTGCTGGAAATCAAAGAAAAAGCTGCTTCTCAGCAGGTAAGCATGGCATACATGAACATAAACGTTATATGCTATTAAAACATTTACTCTGCTTTCTTGTTTATCTACAATTAAGCATAAGCTGCCAATTTTGCCCCTGAAAGCAATAGCCCGCGGTAAAGACCTCTCTCCTGTCTCATATTAGCTATTAAATTGGAATGATAAGTAAAATTTCCATAAGTGTCTGATGACGACAATGTACAAACCACATTAAACAAAAAGTATATGACTGCTGCTGTTGTATATGGCTGCATACCGCTTGTAAAAGGAAGGTCAGACTTCATCAGTTCTTGATATAAGATGCAGGAAGACTGCAGCATCAACATGGTTCCTTAGCACATTTCAAAAAACACGCAATTGTAATGAAAGCTGAAAAAGTCTTAAGTCACAAAAGGTGCTCTTTTGGGTTCTTCCAACCATAGTTCCAGGTACGATCCCCTCTTGTGGGTCTCCATAAGGTTAGTGTTCTGTTTCCATCAATCTAAAGAAGGATTCAGTCGAGGAATCTCTGACATGCCTTTTTCCAGCGGCAGGCGGTGCACCACTGGTCTCGGTGTTCAATGCCGTACACCTTTCGGCATTTCTTGGCTTCGCCCCGAATCCTCCTGTTAGTATGAAATAAATTCAGAGTTAAATTTAACATTTCATCTAAATACAACAAAACAATATGAAAAGCTATTCGCAACACATTTTAAAGGTGAACTGTATAATTTACACTACAGTTCATAAGTTTGGGCTCATTAATACTTTTATTCAGCAATGATACATTATACAGTATTTCATCAAAATTGACAATAAAGACTTAAGATTATTACAAAAGATTTCGGTTTCAAAAATAAACACTGTTCTTTTAAACTTTCTATTCATTAAAGAATCCTGAAAACAAATGTAATACAGTTTCCACAGAATTAAGCAGCACAACTGTTTTCAACATTCGCCCTATTCGGACGGTAATTGTTTCTCATGGGAACATAAGGTATTTTCAACATTTGCTAGTCAGTGGTTTTATTGCCATCCGAATTCAGAATGTCTGTGTTTTTCTCCTACCACCAGTGTAAAACAATCCCAGCCAAACTGGACTAGAATTAATCCATCCAAATTTAAAATGTACTGTGTACAAGTTTTGTATTTTATAGTTTTGTATTTATTACTACGATGTTATTAGGTACTTTTATTTTTCTCTGCCCACAATAATGCCAATCATTTTCTGATTTCAAGCTCAAGTTTTTTTTTTTTAATCAAACAAAGTTTATAAATGAAGATTGACAGCAACAATAAGAGACTGAATAATTACTAAAGAAACAATCAAATCCCACCTTGAAGTGCAATGGTTTCTTGGAGGTGAAACACTGGCAGGAAGTGGCCTGAAGGTGGCATTGTTATTCTGGAGCCACTGTTCACCAACACTCACTGAACGACGGCGGAATGGTGAGCCCTGGGGAAGGGCAGAGAAAGAGAGAGAGAGACCACCATTAGTCACAGAATGACGCACTGCAGTTTATGTTACAGCTGCAAACACTACTCTACAGTACAAAACAATGCATCAGTGAAGCAAAACTTTAATTTAAATGCATTAAGGCCATTACATGATACATTATTTCAGGAGATATAAATCAGCAAGTAAGAGGTTTAAAACTGAAAAGCGAGATCAAAATACACAAGACCACAATATTTTAGATTTTTCAACCTAGTAACAAGCATGTGTTCAGACAAAGAGAACACAGTGTCCCCCAACTCCACTAGATGGCACTGCAATACCATCCACATTACTTGTGGGCGGAACAAAGGACACAAAAACAACATGTGCATGTTACTCCCATTTTCAGTGCAAAAACACAGAATGTCTTTGAGACCGCATGGTGCTTTGTATGTTCTGAAAGCCTCAGAGAAAATGCTGCATAGCCAATTCATTACCTATAAATATTCACAGCGAAAAGGCCTCTTTTAAGACATCTTTGCTGAAATTTTTCCAGCCTTGTAGATAATAATGGAATCAGTTAATAAAGAAATGCTCACCTGTTTGCTCTGGTGAACTGTGAGAGATGGAGTCCAATGACAGGACACAGGAACAGACACTGGTTTGCTCGGAGTCACAACCTGAACGGGTGGAGGAGCCTGAGGAATCAACATCAACGTATTAAACACTCGGCCATTTTTGTTCATTTATGTCCATAAATGTTCATTTACATGCAAAAAGTGACATGTGACACTGATAAGATCTTTGATGGCACTACACACCCTCAAGAGAAACATGTTGTTTAATGACGCCACAACAATGTCAAGCATCTCACCTGGTAAGAGTGCTCAGAATGGACCTGCCAGAAGCTGCCAGGGGCGGACTGGCTGAGTGGGCTGAGCTGGAGCATCTCCGGGGTGGTGGGAGAGGGGGGCGTGTGCCGGCTGGGACTGGATGGAGAAGTGCAGGAGGGCCAGTGGCCACCAGAGGGAGTGGTCTGTTCCAAGTCCTGATAGACTTCAGTGTAGTAGAAGTCTTCTTCCCTTTGGGAGTGCTCATCACTTTGTCTGCAGGAAACATAATACGCCGTGTGATTACAATAAAAATGTCCCAGATTGCTGCATTCATTGGTTAAAACGTATGGTGCTTGTGATGCTTACCCAAGATGAGAATTTCGGATGTGACGTTTGATGCCCACTACTGTGGTCAGTATTTTTCCACAGTTTGGCCACAAGCACCGATATGCAACTTTTTCTGAGTTCTAGAA